GAGGCTTTTTTTCTTTGCATGGTGGTATTTTTGGCAAACTTAGTAACTACTGAGAGTTTTTTCGTGGACGTGGGTGTCAAAAATCTTGACCTACCCTAGCTACTCAACTGATTGTGGTAAGCGATAACTTTTCATTTCACGAATTTAGCTTCATCTGATAAGTTTTTTTTAGACCTACTGACAACTGATCACAAAGTTTGGGACTTTCTTATAATTTTAATTGGTTTGAGACCCGTTTGGTCTTCCCGAACTTGAACCTGAAAGTAACGTGACCGCCTGAAGTCATGTGACCAAAGTCATGTGGAAAGATAAAATTTAGAAAATAAAATCGCCAAAATAGACATTGAGTGGAATCTTGGATGTTAGCAATCGAGGTTATTGTAGAATAAAATGAATCCCACCTGTACACTTCTTCTCCACGTATTTATTTTGTTCAACATTTGGGTCAAATCCCAATGTGGTGCTACGCTACAGCAGATCTATAGATATGAAATACAAAATAATGCAGGTAATTTTTCAAAAATCGTCTTGGCTCAATTAGCCATTCAGTTCAAGTTGTTGACTTAAAATGAGTTGACTAATACTAATTACTAATACTAATACCGGTACTAATAAATTATTAGTAATAAAAAATGTATAAGTTATAAGTATTCACAAAAGCAGCCTCAGTAGTTTAGATGCCTTAGCCTTAATCATCATAAATATGTTTTATATAATTCAACATCTGACTCAATTAGACTCATGATGACAATTTTAAGAATAATAAGAAAATAGGCCTAGAACAATTTAATATTATTTAAACTGAGTGACTATTTAAATTTAAAATTTAACTATTTTATTTGCATTATTGGTGTTATTACTGTTCAGGGTTGTCCATTAATTATGTCAACATGATGGGGTTGGGGGGGGGGTGGGAGGGGGAGGGGGAAGTTGGAAATGTTTAACAATTGTTGACAAGGGGGGAGGGGGGGGGCTAGATTAGTTGATGCCAACAATCATGTTTTCTTTATTAAAATTTTTATCTTAATAATTGACTGGTTCTTATATTATTTTAACAAATTTAATGAGTGTCAATTAAAATAGGCTTTTACTTTTAACAATATAAGATTTATTTATGTGTGTCTGTCTGTGCACTGCAGATGGCTGGTTAGAATGCAGTGCAAGGTTAGTGCAAGAGAAGTCAAAAGTTGGCCTCTCTTCGCCTGTAGATTCTGTTTGTCGCAAATGACTAGGGCGGTATGTTAGCGATCGTGTTGCAGGTATGGAACAAGGATATGCAAATGAAAAGGGGGGTATGTTAGCGATCGTGTTGCAGGTATCGAACAAGGATGAGGTTCAAGTGTCACGTGCAGTCAAGATAAATGCAGTCAAGGAATACAATATTTTGAGAATAAGGGGAAAGTAAAGTGAGTAACAATAATAACAACGCTGCTTGAAAGGATTTGCAAAATCTGTAACATCTATTTTGCACCACAAGTTATGTTGAAATAGCCTGTTCAACAGCACCAACAATGCATAAGAAATTACCACCTGCTCCTCAACAAAAAAAGATTCGACTAATGCAATTAGCTGCCAGGAGACAGAGAGAGCTTATGGCAATTATTGCTCACACACTGACAATACTCCATTTTAAATGCTGAATGGTTAGATGATGATGATTTTGACTTGTCTGGTATATCAGTTCTGCAAGATGAAAATCATAAATCAGCTACTACGCCAATTTTTACAAAAGAGCAACACCTGGCTACTCCCTGAGAAGATGATAGCAACTAGAAACTATGCTAATAGTTAGCTATTAGCTATACTGACAATTATCATATTTATGCTTCCACAAAAAATGATGTTTAGTCTTTAGCAACCTTTTCATTGATTCTCTATTATATGATTTAAGTGTAAAACTGTTTTAAATTGTTGATTAACAAGCTAAAGATACAATAAAAATGTTTTTCCTACAATGTTGTGTTATTAAAATAGATCAGCACAAAGTAAAATGTATATATTATAATTATTTATTTTTTTGGTGGGGAGGTTTATAAAAATGTTCACATTATAACTTGGGGGGGTGGGGGGTGTCTTTGAAAATTTGACAGTGTTGATGGGGGGGGGGGGGGGGGGAAAAAAAAAATAGCTTAAAACTTGTTGACGTAATTAATAGAAGCCTCCTCCTTATGAATAAAATGTTAGTCTAATCAGGACAAATCTAGTACTCTCAAACAGTGTTTTCCAAATGTTTGGTGGACCAGTGGACAAGTTTTTCTTTGCACCAGGGACTGTTCCAAATTTATTAATTACTGTTTTTGTGTGCAAGACTCTCACAGTGAATGAAACTATATGTTTACTGCATGCAGGTGCTATCACTTTAATTTGTACAACCCCCAACTAATGCAATACAAAATTTGAAATACAGAATGTATTTGCCAAAAACGGTTCTGAACTATTTATTCATGCAGATTATTATAGTTCAAATACAAATAAGTCATCAAATATGTCACATATTTTTGTTTATGCTTAAAAGATTTTATTATATCTTTTACTAGATTCTGTTTTTCAAGGGAGCATCTCGCAGGCAGAGCCAAAACAGGCTTGGGATTATGTTACTGTGCGTCCAAAAGCCCATCTCTTTTACTGGCTATATTACACAACACATTCTCAAGGCTATAATAACAGGCCGCTCATACTGTGGTTACAGGTAATCCTCATAACTGGCAATTTGTACAGGAAATCGGTAGTTTACATGATCATTAAATTTAGTATTCAATTTCCAGGGAAGCTCCAAAACAAAACTGCTGGCCCTCTTCTAATCTTTATCACAGATATCAAATAGTATCCCTCTTTTTTTTAAAAAAGCAAAACAAACTTTAAAAGATATGCAATTAAATATATTAAACTAATTAATTTTTTTAAAAGTCACGTTACAGTATATTGTAATGATAATGAATGAGTTAGATTTACATGTATACTGTATCATTTACTTTGAATATTAAGGAAGCCACTCTGGCAGTTTTGTACCATCAATTTGAAATATCAAGACTGTCCTTTAATAATAGCCTGGTATATCATACAAAAAAAATTGTTTTTTGCCATAAGTTAATGGTTCTATTAATAATTTAAATTGTAATTAAACAAGCCCACATCTGGTTGTTGTTTAATTTAATCATGAAAATGTCATTTCTAAGCCTTGGATACAATTTCACTCAATATTTCTGTGTTTTTTATTTTTTAAGATGTAGCTATCTAGATGTATCATAGAAAACTTTTTTGAATACAGTAAAAATAATGAAAAAGTAAAAGTAAAAAAATATGAGAATCTTTATGTTCATTTTTTGTTCAAATATTAAAGAATTTACTTAAATATTAAAGAATTTACTTAAATTTAACTATGAACTTTTTCTAAAGGGAGGTCCTGGTGGCTCAGGGACAGGATTTGGAAACTTTGGAGAATTAGGTCCGCTAGATGTCAACTTGAATCCAAGGAATACAACATGGGTAGGTGAGTGAAGCTACCAAACAAAGGTAGTTGTCTGAGATACAAGGAAGTGTTGCATTTTTTATATTCATTTCTCTAGTGTATATAAAATTAAAATTGTTTGTTGGTAGAATTTTTAAAAATTTATATTTGAATGTTGTTTTGACTATTTTTGTTTATACAATTTTTCTATAAACATTAACACCTTACTTATAAAAAAAAGTCTTTAAAGTTCATCTGAAAGTCATTTTTTTTATAATTGAAACAGCTCCAGACTGCAAGCCTTCTTTTTATTGACAATCCAGTGGGAACCGGTTACAGCTACGCCGAAGATGAGTCGGCATTTACAACCAATGTTGCTGAAATCTCAGCAGACCTTTTAACATTAATGAAACATTTTGTGCAGACCTATCCGGACTTTAAGGTTAGTTTTGCAGCACTTATGGAGGGCTCCTGACTGTTTGTAATTAAACTTATAAATTTGAGCAAATGTCTGATTATGTATTAAAGCATAAAGAAGACAGCAGAAAAATGAAGAAAGATTTTTGTTTTATCTCATATCAAGGTTGTTATTCTGACAGTTATAAGATCAACAATCCATGAATAGTTATAACATTGTTAATAGAAATGGTAGCTGTAAGGATATGAGTAGAATGATAGTTGAAAGATTGTCTACAGGAAAGTTGTAAGATTGTTAACATTACAAAATGTTTAAATTAGAAAAATAGTATGCAGTAGTATTTATTTCTACTTTACAGAGGATACCATTTTATATTTTTTCTGAATCCTATGGTGGGAAAATGACAGCTGCCTTCAGTGCTGTTCTGTATGCTGTGAGTGATGTTTAAAGATTTTACTTGATTTCACTAGTTTCAAGAAGAACATTAAACAAGAGATGACTTTAAATTACCCGGTATTATAGGACTCTATAAACTTTCATTAGAATTTATTGATTTTTTTTTAGTTCTTTATAGGTTACTTACATATCAATAGGCATCTAACAATATAATTTCAAATTAATATTCCTTCATTTTTTATAGGTAGGAAATATGGCATTTAAATTCGAAAATTCGCTGATTATTATTAAGCCATTATTTTTAATGAATGCATGTTTTAAAGATGATAGAGTACCCCTTACCCGTACTCAATAAATATAAATTAATTCATGGCTAAATGTTTGCAACTCTTCCATTTGGCAGGAGATTCAAAAAGGTGGCATTGACATGAACTTCAAGGGTTTTGCAATGGGTGACTCATGGATATCCCCTGTTGATTCAACAAATTCCTGGGGGCCATTTTTGTATGCCACTGTATGTTAACTTCATATTTTAAAATTTTGATGTTTAAAAAAAAAAAAAATTTTGCTAAGAATATGTTAAAATTCTTGGGTTTAATTCTTTTTCCTATACATAGGGGCTTAAATCTTTGTTTTGTTCAAGTATTATAAATGAAGGACTGCATTCAAGCTGTGTGAAGTAAATAGAAGAAAAGGCATGTGGAAGCTTGAATTGAAAGACAGGACAATAAGATATAAGCTTATAGAAGCAAGCTAAACACTTTAGTTCTATTTCTTGTCCTATTTTCATCTGTCCTATCTACTGAGGAAGGATGTTAGCCGAAACGTTCTTATCTTACTGTCCTGTCTTTCAATTCAAGCTTCCACATACCAGGTTCTATTTCCTTCTTTTATGTTAACAAACGAGTCTCAGGCTATAGCAAGAGCATTTCTTTGATAACACATATATTTTACCTAAAGAAAATAACAACCAGAGATACTATAATTGATGAGCCGCTAACACCCAGTTTAAAAATATAAGTTCAGGTGACATGTGCAAAAGATGCAGTGCTTGTATAGCTCTGGATTACATTTTACTTTTATATTTACTTTCACATAATTCATGATATTGAAATTAATTTTCAATGTTTAAAATATTTTTTTTATAACTGCAGTCTATTGTTGATATTGCTGGATTGGGTAGAATTAATGCAGCAGCCAAGAAAGCAGAAGACTTGGTAAAAGAAGGTATTTTGGGGCTACCATATATATATATCTATATTCGTTCATAAGCAGACTGGGGAATGAGTGAGGTGTTCTACTTTTAAAAAACAATGAAGGCAAAAAAAAATAATAAACCAAATTTTAAAAAAGCTGTATGTAAACTTTGCAGGGATAAAAATTGGTTCTTTTGCAACTGCTGTGATTGGTAAAGCTAAGGGGATCAGCTTATGAACAAGTATAAAAAATAATAGTTGAGACCATTTCTTCACTTCTTATACTTGTAGCCAAATTGTGACACTCTAATCACTAGTCGTTTTTTAGCCATGGTTCAATAGAGCCCAGTTATAGTAATTTAAAAACTGCCTATTTTTTCTGTTGAAAGAAAGTTCCTTGTTTCCAAAGGAAAGTTCGCCGAAGCTACTGCAGCCTGGAGTTTAACTGAAAGTGTTGTCGCTGCTGAAAGTGCGGGTGTAAATTTCTATAACATTCTAGAGTGGGACAGTGAAGACTCCAAGAGATTCAACTCAGTACTGACCAGTTCAAAAGATCCCATTGGTTTGTTGGCTACTTTTGCTATAAATATGTAAATAAGAAGGAATATGCCCTGTCTGGACGCTTGCCCATATTTAGTTTCATGTTTAAAAAAATTTACACTGGTATGTTCAAATATAAACTCAGGATAACTGCTCTGAAATAAAATTATTTAAATTCAAATACAAATACCCTGGTACATTGTTTAAATAGGAATATTTATGAGGAAATGGCTGTTTCACACCTCTTTCATGCCTGTTTAATGCCTATTTCATGGCAAGCTTTAATGATAATTTTACAGAATACAAAAGTATACGTTTCGGCACATGCCTTCATCAGTACAACAAAAAGACAAACAAGTATAAATTAAATTTACATAATATATATATATATACAGATATTCTACCTAAAAAAAGGGGGAAGGAGAAAAAATTGGAGTGGGCGAAAAAAACAGACAGAAGCAAAGTAAAGTAAAGTGTAAAGGAAGTGATTTGAGCAAAATTGTAAAAACCAAACAGGAAAAAAGATATGGCAGCTAGGTAAACTTGTGGATTTGGTTTATTCCATATGGAGACAACGTACCAAATCGTGTTATTAATTTATTCTCCATGTATATCCTATCTGTTGTCATGAAAGTGGCATGAAACAGCCATGAAAAAGGCATGAAACAGCAATGAAACAGCCATGAAAGTGGCATGAAACAGCCATGAAAGTGGCATGAAACAGCCATGAAAGTGGCATGAAACAGTCATGAAAGTGGCATGAAACAGTCATGAAAGTGGCATGAAACAGCCATGAAAGTAGCATGAAAGATGAATGAAAGTGGCATGAAACAGCCATGAAAGTGGCATGAAACAGTCATGAAAGTGGCATGAAACAGTCATGAAAGTGGCATGAAAGTGGCATGAAACAGTCATGAAAGTGGCATGAAAGTGGCATGTAACAGCCATGAAAGTAGCATGAAAGATGAATGAAAGTGGCATGAAACAGCCATGAAAGAGGCTTGCAACAGCCATGAAAGTGGCAGGAAAGAGGCATAAAACAGTCATGAAAGGGGCATGAAAGTTGCAAGAAACAGGCATGAAAGAGGTATGAATCAGGCATTAAAGTGGCATGAAAGAGGTATGAAACAGGTATGAAACAGCAATGAAAGATGAATGAAAGTGGCATGAAACACGCATGAAAGTGGGGTGAAAATGGCATGCCTATTTTATGCCCCTTTGATGTCCATTTCATGCCTATTTCATGTTTTTTTTTATTCCTCTTTCATGCCTATTGAAAATAAAGTATTGGTAGATATTTGTATTTCATAAGGGATGAATATTTTAAATTTATTGATGGCACATTGTAAGAGTGAAAAGTTGATAAACAATGGCCACAATCTCTCATGCTGGCACATGGTAAGTGAGGTTGAGTGATAAGTTGATAAACAATGGCCAAAATCTTTCATGCTAGAATTGGGATTGTACTTGTGGCTGGCAAAGTACGTACTCACAAAGAGCTTGGTTTACAACACTGTCTAATTCTTTATGCCTCAATATTACATCAAGTAATAATTTTTTTATTAAAGTTGTTATAAATTTATTGAGGGTCTTGCAGCAGGGATTTCTTTATTTTGTTACCCCAGCTTTAAAGCTTTAATTAATTTTATTTTCAGAGATGTTGTATGAACATCACGTCAAAATAATGTCACAAGGAATGAAGCTTTAACTGATTTCATTTTCAGAGAGGTTGTATGAGCATCACGTCAAAGTAATGCAGAATGATGCCTTGGATGAGCTGATGAACGGACCAATTCGAAAGAAACTGAAAATAATACCTGATAAAGTTAGTTGGGGAGGTATGATGAATCATTTAGAAATACTTTACATGTTAATTTATTAATAATGTAGTTCCTTTTTTATTGAATTTCAAGTTTAACTTTTTAAACAATTTTCTGTCTTAATTTATTATTAAATCATGCAATAATGTAATATTCAGTCCTTATAATATTAATTAGAAATACATAAATTAATATTTAAACAATAGGTTGCCAGATAAAATAGTGAAAATAATCATAAGAAATTAATAATTTATGATTTTGAAAAGTATAAATTATTTCAAACTAAATATGTTATTATATTTTTATGTAGCAGTTGTTCTGGCGTGCAATAAGAAGTCATCCATACATGACATCATGCATCTAGGGGGAGAGGGTCACATATTTGTGACGAGGGGGGGGGGTGGGTTAAGCAGTGTGACGTCACCTAAAGAGGTCCGAAAAATGGCCACTGATCTAGTTATGGCCATCATGGGTAAGAAGAATCTGTGTAGTAATGACAATGACAGTAGTGAGCATTTATGTTGAAATGTGGAGATGGGAGTCAAAGAATTAGGGCTATCGGTACCGTGTGATGTAGGATGTAACAAAAATGGTTAATGGGCGTGATCTTAGGAAATGTTCTAAGGCAGGGACTCTAAACCTTTTGCAGCGCTACATCCCCACACAATTACAAAACATCCCCCCCCCAACACACACACACACACCACCCCTCTGATAAATTATATTGTAATAAAATTTTAACAAATGAAAATAATTAAATATTTAGCTATTGCAGGGGGTGCTTTCAGACAAGATTAAGAACCTCTGTTATAAAGAAATGTTTCTGACTCAGGTGCAGTAATCCAATATCCATAGGAGGTGATTCTTTTAAGGGTTTTTAAAATGCAGTAGTAGAAAGGGGGATTTTTTATGGGGGGGTTAGCAGTGGTTTGTGACATATTTGAGGGTGTGTCTAATTTTTTGTGGTGAAGTGAAGGGGGTAAAAAAAAATCTTCAAAATTTGCATGACTTCATTTATGGATGGCCCCCAATTCTAGAGGTGAATAAACAGAGGTCAGAAGTCTTACAGTAGTTACAGAGAGGGGCCTACCTTTCTGAATTCTTTAAATCCATAATGCATAATTTTATTTGTAGGTCAGTCAGGGACTGTGTTTGATAAACAAGCTGGAGATTTCATGAAGAATGTGACAAGCACAGGTATTCTTGACAGATAAACTTTAGTTTTAGTTTATACAAATATAAATAAGGTTGTTGTTTTTTTTTCTCATTTTAAATAAAAATATAAAAACAGTGCATTCCTTATTGTACTGTACCTGATAAACTAAAATTAACCAAGTATCAGGAGTCTATTAGAAATAAGGCAGTGTGAGCTGTTACATGTGCTAAGAGAAATATTGAGTTCCTACAATACTGGTATTAAGCATGTCACAATTTTCTTTGTGCCTGGAAAAGACTGAAGATGTCCATGAGATAATGTTAAAGTGATCATCAGAGAGAGACCAAGGCTAGAGTTAAGTTTAGTGCAGTGGATTCAGCCGCCATGTACTGTGTCATCATGTTTAAGTAGGTCATAGTGATCATCAGAGAGACCAAGGCTAGAGTTAAGTTTAGGGCAGTGGATTCAGCCGCCATGCACTCTGCCATCATAAACATAGTACAAAAAATAAGGTCCCAAAAGCCATAATATAGCAAGATAACTTTACCTTAAAAGATCAAGATAACTTTACCTTACAAGATCAAGATAACTTTACCTTACAAGATCAAGATAACTTTACCTTAAAAGATCAAGATAACTTTACCTTACAAGATCAAGATAACTTTATAATTTAATTTCTTTTCAGTGAATGATCTTGTCAATAACTCATCGCTGAAAGTGGTCATCTACAGCGGTCAGCTGGATCTGATTTGTGATATATTAGGTATGGTGTAGTTAGACCAGAACTGAATGGTTTTAGAAATAATTGATAGATTTAAACATTTTCTTTAAAATAGGATTAAGCCCACTCCTGAGCCACCCTCTGTTAAACTCCCTTAATTTTTGTGTATTGTGATCGTTCAGGGTGTTTTGCATCCTAAATACCACATACCCTACCAGTACTATTTACTAATAAAAAAACACAAGGTTCTTTAAAAAATTTTTAGTTTTAAGTTATCAGAGTTTGAAATTTAACATAATTTTCCAGACTCTTGAGAAGTTTCTTTCAAAGTTTAGATGATGTACCGATAACTTTTGAAAGAACTATTTAGAATCTGTTGTAATCAAGAATTATTTTTAATGGCATCCTCTTGACTGTCATCCTTATAACATTGTTTTTTTTTGTTTTTTTTAAATGTAATTGTAATGTGTTCATAGTTGTTCCTATAATGGTGTTCTTGCGTTTTCAATGAATGTCTAAAAGGCTTTTGTTCAAGCGATCAAATACAGTACTTTATTAACTTTATGATAAGCATGGAGGACAGGCTTGATTTAAATCACAGTCAGCTCATGACTTATGATTTATTTAGCTGACATTTCAAGCTCACAGATTTGGGAAGTAAAAGTAACAAATGTGTGTCCTGTATGATGGCGCAGGGTCTAAGGTGTCATAATAGTTTGGTTAAAGTAAAAGCAGTCATTATCTTTACAATCCCTTTAATTGAATAAAAATTTTGGTGTGGATTTAAGTCATGTTGACAGGGATGCATACAAAGTACACTTGCTGTCTTTGATGCTTGAACTAATTAAAAATTTTGAGGACAGCATTTTCTCTTTCTTGATTTCATGAATTGCTTTCATAGTTACATATCTATACAACAAGCTAAGAGTCTGCCTTTAACTGTTTTTGCTGTCAAGGGCTTTTTGGCAAAAAAAAATTCACTTTCTGTTCAAGTATTCTCCTTCTTCAGGTTTCCTTCTATTCTTTGTATATTTCTTATTGCTTCTTATGTATTTCTCTCCCTTGTAGTGTAGCATGTTTGCCAAGGCTGAAAAGTCCTTTCCACCCATTACATGAGACAGGGGGACAATTATTGCAGAGCATACAGTTTTATTTAATGCTCAACAAATTACTTATGGTCCTGAATAAAATTTTTCATTTCCACTAAATTTAACCAGTGAAGTCAAGACCAATTAGTTATAACAGTGTCATTTCAAGACAGATTAGTTATGACAGTGTCATTTCAAGACAGATTAGTTATGACAGTGCCATTTCAAGACCGATTAGTTATGACAGTGTCATTTCAAAACCGATTAGTTATGACTGTGTCATTTCAAGACAGATTAGTTATGACAGTGTCATTTTAAGACAGATTAGTTATGACAGTGTCATTTCAAGACAGATTAATTATTACAGTGTCATTTCAAGACCGATTAGTCAGATTAGTTATAAGTGTCATTTCAAGACAGATTAGTTATGACAGTGTCATTTCAAGACAGATTAGTTATGACAATGTCAATTCAAGACCAATTAGTTATGACAGTGTCATTTCAAGACAGATTAGTTATAACAGTGTCATTTCAAGACAGATTAGTTATTACAGTGTCATTTCAAGACCGATTAGTCAGATTAGTTATAACAGTGTCATTTCAAGACAGATTAGTTATAACAGTCATTTCAAGACAGATTAGTTATGACAGTGTTATTTCAAGACAGATTAGTTATGACAATGTCAATTCAAGACCGATTAGTTATAACAGTGTCATTTCAAGACAGATTAGTTATAACAGTCATTTCAAGACAGTTTAGTTATAACAGGGTCATTTCAAGACAGATTAGTTATAACAGTGTCATTTTAGATCATTTAATACGACTGTTTATCTTGCTCTTCTACTTCTAGGTACAGAAACTTGGTTTTACAAAAATATTGACAAAGCAGGAGCATTTCAAAAGGAAAAGAAACAAGATTTTCAATGCGGGGATAAGCCTGGTGTCTGTTTTTACTTGAAGGAATATCAAAATTTACAGTTCTATTGGGTGTTGGATGCTGGTCATATGGTAAATTCATATTTAACTCAAATTTTTCTTATGTGATTTATTTACATTTTTTACATTTCATATTTATCCTTTCAATATGAGCAGAGCTATGTTACAGATAAAATATTACTTTGATTTCAGTTAATTCAGGGATCAGTGTCCACTTGTGACTTGTGTCTCTATGACTGATTAGAACATTGTTAGTCTCAAATAAAATGTACCAGTATAAGTTGTACACTGTTGATTGCTTCATTTAACTTATCAATTACTTTAGAGTGTTTCCTAGGTAAGAAAAACAAAATAATTTAAGTAAAATGTATATTTTAACTTCCATCTCCCCTTTCCTTATTTTAAGCTTGACGTTGACAACACCAACATTCAAACTAAGGCCTCAGCACCTTTTTTATTTCTGTGTGCATGGTTGTGCATTACTGCACTCTCCCAAGAACTTACCCTTAAATTAAAAAGAGTAAAATAAAATCAAATTTTAAAAATCTTGAACTGAGATATCATAAAAGTCAGTGGTCTCCCCCCTTCCTCTGTCCCACACAATGTGTCACTGAAAGTCTCAGGTCTCTGTAGTTGTGTTTATTTCATCCATTTGGTCAAATAAAGGTAACTGACCACTGTTTTAGCATTTATGGATGTCAAGTAGCTAAAACTATATTCTTCATCTTGCAGGTACCAACAGACAATGGACCAGGTGCTCTAGCTATGGTCAACAAAATTATAAATAAACCATAATTATGTCAAATCCCTTTTACCAAAACTGAACCTGTTTCATTATTCAATATTAGGGGCTTTGCTTATTTTCCAAGCTTGAAAGGAATCAAATATTTGAAACGGGTATTCTAAGCCTGACATAATTGATGTTAAAAAAAGCTTATCCTACAGTCTTTTCCATTTAGGGCCTACTAGTTACAGAACTTGTTTGTAATTGATAAAATTCTTCTTCACTTGCTAGTTTGTATTTGTGATAAAATTAAACAGTTTTTGAAATTTACAATAAATAAAACTTAGTATTTAGTAGTATTTAGCTTTAAGTTAATCTAAACTAAAAAATCTTCTCCATAGCAATTGAAAGTATATTAATGGCTTACTACAACTACAACAAACAAAAAATTTAGGCCTAATTTATTTTGAGTTTGTGAAAATTCTGCAACTGTAATTGATGTGAAGATGTTTTTGTGAGAATTGGTAATGAAGTTCCTAGGCATGTAAATAGAACCCTAAAATGTATTCTGTGTCTTTTAAATTACTTATATTTATACAGTCATTTACTTTTTAAGTTGTAAATTTCATGTAGTTTTTCATCATAATATTTTACAATGTTTTTTTTTAGATTTCATTAATAAATTATTCAGTGCCCTTTTTAATATTTGTCGACTGAGAATTAATAAAAAATGAAATTCTAATCATGATTATGGTTCTATATTTCTTAGGTATCAACTGAATGTTTAAATACATTTGTATGTCCTAAATAGCTGATAATAAAAAAAAAAAAGAATTGCTGTAAAGCAAAATTCATTTAATCAACATGTATGTAAAAAATTCAACAATGAAAAAGCATAGAAAAAAAACTAAATATAATCCTTCATGGTAAAGTTTGTCTTGATTCAATGTATCTGGTCATACATATTTTAACCTATTTGCCTCCTCTTCAGGCCGCCGGCCCATGATTCTAATGTGTCAAAGTCATAGTAAAAGTTCAGATCTTATTAAAATTAACATTTACGCGTTACTAATATTAGTTTCATAATTTCAGAGGTTAGTTTAATGACAAACTGATCTATTTAAAAGTACCCTTTTATAATTAAGTAACACATATTAGTTTCAGAGGTTATTTAAATGCCAACTTATTACAAGACATTAGCAAAATAAATGTGCTTAAGCAAATAATAAAATTAGTTTCAATAAATCATTGTACAGGTATCACAGATATTGTTTGTATATTTACAGTCTAATGTACATGAATTAACCAAAATGAACATTAATCTGACATTTTTTAGACATTTTATCATCTTATAATTGTCTTATTTTAAAATACCAACAGTAACTAATGACATTGATAACTTTTTATAAAATATTTTACAGACCTGGTTACACTAGAACTCCCTAAATAGTACAATACAGTATCAGAATAGTACTGTCCCATCCTAAAATCATAAAATACTGCTTTGTAATCATAAATAAACATATATAGTATAATCACAAAAAGTGATGTATATATATATTTAAAATGTGTGTTTATGCCAAAAATGAAAATAATCGCTAATTGAATGAGAGATAAGTTTAACTGTGATACATATGGGGGTAATGGGTTGCCCATCCCCGCATTAAGCCTAGGAGCCCGATTTTATTTTCCATTAACATATTGTAGTCTTAAGAACTACCACAACCTGACTTGGGAGAAGGAAAGAGGAGTGCTTAAGCTGAAATGGGGTACCGGTATTAAAAGTGTACAGCTGCTTGGTGACTTCTAAAAAAAAAAGATTTTAATTGCCACAAATCTTATAAAATGTATTAAAATCTAATGCTGCTGTGAGGAGCAATTAAGAATGCATTTTTTTTTTAAAATTCTGTAGTTTTCTCAATTTTACTAATTTTAGTAATTGCAGTTCAGCCGAAGAATGAATTAATTGTGTCACAAAATTACATCATACACCAAAGCAAACAAAACGGAATGTTTACTAAATTTGTCACTAGGCGAAAACGCTCAATATCAATGTTGTTGTTCACTGACAACACAAAGCAACAATATAACAATCATTACGAAAGTTGTGGTGTTATTTATTTATAGGTAGCTTTTAAAAATATTTTGACACCTCCCCTGTGTAGGAAGTAGATAAAAGTAGCAACCGAAAACAATGTTTATTCACTAATTTTTTTGAAGTGTAAAAACCAACAGATTGTATTTTTAAAGCTGGTCTTGTAAAAGCATAGTTAAGACAGGTCTCTGTGGGCAATACTAAAAAAACATCCAAAATTGTACATTGTATTGCAAAATCAGAAACAGGTAAACAGGTCTGATTTAATCATAGAACTAATGTTTCAAATTTATCTTTCAACTAGACAAAAGATACAGTAGCTTATAAGCTCTAATATAGATCTATTTCCACTAAACATCCAATTTTCTAATGTAGCTAATAAGGAATAGTACTGGTGCTCTAAATACTGCATGCCTTGTTTCTTTAGATTTGATAGTTCCTAAACTTCTCCAGCATAGGGTTAGAGTTAGATTGTATATCTCTCTTACATTCTGGAGTGGAACTTTTTGAAGATGGCTCTGTTGAGAAATTAATATTTTAAAAAAGAAAGAAAATAAATTACTCAAATATCTAGGATTGTAGACCTAAACAACAAGTGATAATTACAAAATATTTCTAAACCAGGAAACTGACATTTCTAAAGCCATGGTGAAATTAAGAAAAATGTAAGCTGCATTTCCCAAGTTATCTTAATAATATAAAAATGCTGTACCTCGTAATGTAAATTTAAGTTTCTCCTCAAGATCAATCAAACTTTGACTTTTGCTGGCATGTGATGATGGTACATGCTTGCAATGTGAGGAGGTTGGTTCTTTTCCTTCTGGGTGACTGATGGCCACTTGTTCTTTTTGATAGCCCCAATGCATTGACTGAAATCATTATTCAACAGTTATAGCTTTTTCAATAATCATTTAGTCCTCTTTATACATACATTTATAAGTACATTTCGGTGGAAAGAACTGAACATTTCAGGAAAGATTTTAAACAAATATACCCAGCTATAATTCTAATTGTAAAAACTTGAATTAAATATAAGTACAATAAAAAGTTTTTTTTGGATTCTAAAAAAATGGTTGACACAAATGTTGGAACCTTTTTATTTAATGTGCACCTCAGATCTTTAGGAGAAGCTTTTGTAGGCAGAGTGTCCAACCTACGGCCTGAGGGCCAGAATGCTGTCTGCCAATCTCATTATACCCAATCAACTGCCAATCTCTTTATACCCAATCAACTGCCAATCTCTTTATACCCAATCAAGTCAAAGGACAAAATGTATTTAACTAAACTTTTTTAACAGGGCTAATGCTAACATTGGTAAATTTCAGTGCCATGCAGGGCCCACAAGTGACTTTTTGAGGCCGCCTGCCTCATTTTGGCTTTTTACCTGCTACATTCAAAATTGATAGTTAAAACTTTGTCCACATGTTTATTTTGGACCCCTTAAGTATCTGAGACCCCTTGCAGCAGCAGGGAATGCAGGGCCCATGCAACATGTACCAAAATTTCAGATAAGAGTAATTTATTGTAAATGAAGACACATGGTTCTAACTTATATTTATAGTGCTTGATTTAACTGATTTTTAATAATATTAAATTTAATAATATGGTATCTTTAGTCAATAAACTCTATTAGGCCTGTGCATAAACTTTATGGACCTATTAAGTGTTTAGTCATCATCATCATCATCATCAGTGGCACTACAGCCCATCTGGTCTGCTCCACCTCATTCTTCCATTCGGAGCGATCCATGGCTTTCTGTCTCCATGCTCAAACCCCCAACTGGTGTAAATCTGTCTCCACATCATCAATCCACCTCATCCTTGGGCGACCGATGAGTCGTCTGCCCCTAGGCTTCTGCCTGTATATAATTTTGGCTGCTCTGCATTCCGGCATCCTTTCAACATGACCTGCCCAGCGTAGTCTGCCTTTTTTTATCATTGTGACTATGGGTGGTTCCTTGTACAAATATTAAAGTTCTTGGTTTGTACATATTCTCCAGGTATCATTTTCTATCACAGGTCCGTATATTTTGCGGAGGATTTTCCTCTCCCATGTGTTGAGCAGGTTCTCTGCTTTTCTGGTGAGGGTCCAGGTCTCACTAGCGTATGTTACTACAGGTCTTATGATGGTGGTGTATATTGTCTTCTTTGTTCCCCTTGATAAGTTTTTGTTTCCCAGTAGGTTTTGTAGACTGAAATAGGAACGGTTGCCTGCTGTTATCCTTTCTTTCACCTCATTATCTCATTGTGCTCATTTATAGTTGCCCCTAGATATTTGAATGTGGCCACTCTCTCAAATTTGTGGTTGTTTATATTGATGTTATAATCAGCATGGGAGTTTCTTGACATTATCATATATTTTGTCTTCGGTTCATTTATATCAAGGCCAGCTTTGAATGAGGCATTTTCAAGTTCCCTGAATGCTTTAATTATGTCATTACGGTTTCTACCCAGTAGTGCTAGTATTTAGTGTTTAGTATTCTTGTCTTATTTGTTAAGTTGGTGATAATTATGCTCTCCAGTCACTCAGTTTTGGCATGTTAAAAGAAAATCAGTTACCGGTACTTGAGAAACCAAAAAAACAACTGAATTCCAACCTAATACAAATTGATCCTCAAGATTACAAAGAGATACACGGTGGCCATTTAGTAACCTACAGTTTTAACATGACTCATGGACCGCCATGTTTCAAAGGGAATGGCTATTCCACTGTGCCTCCATTTGTCATATTCTTTTCTCTTCTCTGGATCAAGCAAAGTGTCTTTTGCCTGGGATAACCTTGCAAACTTTTCATCTGGAATGGAGATTAATGAAAAAATTTATCAGAATTAAAATTTAAAATGGGATAAAGCTCATTCATTCCTTTTATTTAGGTCTTTAGTGAAAACCAGATGTTAACGTGACTCCTTGTAACAATTCTGATCATGTTGGCATCAGTTGATTTGTTTTTTTGTGAGAGATTTCAAACAATGACAAATATTTCTGCTACCTAGGTTGTGTTTCTCACGTTCAGACTTTATCATACACATTGACAAATTAATATTGCTGGTCAGAAACGACAACACAGATCTTTGATTACTTTGTACACTTCAATTTCACACAGACACTTGTGTTGTTGACATTCAGTTCTTGTCAAAAAGAACTTATTGATTCCCCAGACATGTGTGTTGTTGACATTCAGTTCTTGTGTTGTTGACATTCATTTCTTGCCAAAAAGAACTTATTGATTCCCAGACACTTGTGTTGTTGACATTCAGTTCTTGTGTTGTTGACATTCAGTTCTTGTGTTGTTGACATTCAGTTCTTGCCAAAAAGAACTTATTCATTTTGTTGCTTGTCCTGGTGACACCCCAAAACATGATATGTTAAATCCTTAATCTTACGTGCAGTGGCATTATATTTTGTTTGTCTGGGTGACACAACACAATTTGATATGTTAAATCCTTAATCTTACGTGCAGTGGCATCATTTTGTTGCTTGTCCGGGTGACACAACAAAACTTGAGCTTTGTACTCAGCTGTTATTTGTTCTTCCTGAAATGAAGAAAATGAAAGCTATAACACAGGTAAAGTAGTAAGGGGCGACATGTCGATAATCCCAGTTGATGAACCTTGCGGGATAATTAACAGATACATTTTCTTTCCACTATTAAAATTTGAATATTTTTAAAACTTCTCACCCATTGCCATTTTAAAATAAAATGTAAGTTGTTACGGCCAGGTTGTAGTTTTTCACCAGGTCCATCCCCAGCCAAAAAGACCCTGCTCCTTCTCCACTCTATGAAACCTGATTTCTTGGACAGTTTTTTTATGTAGGAACTTTGTCAATGTTTTGTGTTTTATATTTTGTTAACATGTTTCCCACATCAAGGTTCAAGTTATTTTTAATACTATTATTACTAGACATTCTCAACTATAAAACATGTCAGAAATATGCTCATGGATTAGTGAGTTAATTTTACTTGCACAATCTCTCTTTGTGAGACAGACCGTCCTACTTAGATTCTCCCCTCTCCTAACTTTTCTTTTACCTCTCCCATCGGCACCCTCTCTATAGTCTTGTCAAGACCTTACACCCCAACCCCATCCCAAATTGATTAAACCCATAACTTTAACAAGTTTCCTAACCTCTCCCACCCAAACTCCTATACCCATTTACCTCATCTTGACCTACAAACCTTTGACCTTTTTCCAGTGCTAGTTAAGACCTGCTAAGCATTTGAAATTTTGACCCTAAAAAATTTCCACATTTTTCACCTTGTGTTTGACTTAACTTTTAGTTACATGTGACTAAAAATTGAAAAAAATATTTGTATTCTACTTTTATTCTTATTTATTCAAGATCCTCTCTTTGATGTTACTTTCTTAGTAATAAGTAATCTTAGGAAAAGTTTACGGTATGTGTTTTTTCTCTTGCTTTTGCTTTTCTTCCCTGATTTTTGTAACTTGCTATGTTGGTGATGTCTGTGCTACCCATCACTTCATATATTATTTCATTACAACTACGTTCAAGATCAAATAAGAATTAAGACCCCTTAAAATTTGGATCACTTACTTTTAGGTTAATCCAGCACTGCCTTTCCCTTATTGCCCTAGGCCTACTTTAGTCCACCTCACATTCTCCTTTCAAGTATTTGCTCTCCTACTAACTCATAAATTAATCTCAGGATATTTATTGGGTCGCTTAATTATTTAAATTTGTAGCTAAATAAATTAGCCTAGGTTAGTATAATTCATTAATGGTATTGTACTATACTATTGAATAAGACTGTTAGTGTTTCTGGAGGCCCATCTGTTTATTTTTAGTCTTTACTCATCTGACGTACAAGCACTTAAGTCTAGACCAGGGATTCTTGAGGAGGGCGAAGAAGCACTATAAAAAAAACTGCCCAAAAAATTTAATCAGACAAGGCAAAAAAATATACCGGTGTATAGAATGAGAGCTGATTATATTTTTCATTAGCCAAAAGTAGTAAAAACGTTATGTTTCATTTTAAATATATTTTTTACAATAGCATCGAAGTGCAGAAGACAAATACATTTGTCATTTCAAAAATGGTTCATTACAACCCTCCTCTGTCATCAGCATCATATCAAGTTTGGCTAAAATCCTAAATCAGGTTTATTTGCATATTTATTAATAAAATCTGATGATTTAAAAAAAAAAAATTTGGGGGTATTATTTGTATTGTTACTTTTTTCTTTCTTCTAGCGTAGTAATTTTTTTAAAGAAGGAAAAATACCATGATAGTATTTGATGCTAAGCTCTATTCAAGTGGATTAAAGTAAATGCCATTGTCGAGTGGACATCATTCAATCTCCCTATTCACCTGATGGAACGACACTAAAATAAACTCAAACTGTTAATAGAACATGTATTTATTGTTTTCCAATTGGTTTGTCGTATATTTTTGTTGGTTTTATTTAATATAAAAATTTTTTTTAAATCAGTAGACCGAGAACAGTTTATTTATTGTCTACTCAGCTGGTGTGTGGCCAAAATTTTTCACCTTTACCCAGTTTCAGAACAAAAGCAATATTCATATGGTACCAGTAAGGTAAAAAAATAGAAACTTAACCCTTATGTCAGATTCTAACGCCAAGGCGTCAGCTTAAAGTGGGGGGAAGAATTAACTGATGGTGTAACCTCAGTCCTTCCCAACCCCCTTACACACACTCCCTTTCACATAATTTTTTTGTACCATGCACAAGGTAAGTTTAAACAAAAATATTTTACAATGTTATACTCAGTGTTTCTTTTCTCTTTCTAATGGATTTCCTACTTTGTATCTTTATATTTGCAATCTTTGACCAATAGTTGTATTATGACATTCATACTCTGCAATGCACCCCATCCCCTCAGTGCGTTCGGAATATACAGATGGTCCCTTGAAGACTTGGAGGGAGGGGGGGGGGGGTGGGTGTTAAATTAGAAGTTAGTATCTGAGAAATGCGGTGGAGGGTTTTACATTCATACTCTGCAATGCACCCCATCCCCTCAGTGCGTTCGGAATATACAGATGGTCCCTTGGAGACTTGGAGGGAGGGGGGGGGGGGTGTGTGTTAAATTAGAAGTTAGTATCTGAGAAATGCAGTGGATGGTTTCTAGACATCTAAACGCATGACAAGTGAATGTACAGACAAGTAAATACAAAGAACTTAGCTGAATGGCAAAATACCATGTCCAAATTCAGACCTACACATTTTGGGGGGACCCACACGCTGTCGGCAAATACCATTGGAGACTACCATTGAGCATACAAGAGTTGAGACTGTTCCCAGCAGAACAGCTTTTGACTCACCATATTTTTTAATATATTTTTTTCAGGCATGAGATATAAGGGCATCAAACTTGCCCCCTAGTCACTGTCATATTAAAGTGACCATCCAAATATTTAGCAAAGTCCCAACACATGTCAATCAATATGTGCACTCTTGAGCCTTCCACAGTTATCATAGTTAACTCCAGAGAATGATGAACCAGAAAGACAGAAAAAAAATAGACATTTTGGGGAAAAGTCATTCTGCCCCCCCCCCCCCTCCCCGAGTGGGTCTGAAAAAGCAACAAAAAAAAATTGTTTAAATTCTGGCTGACCTCTCCAATCTCAAGCAAGCCATTCAACTTTCCTGAAACCTAACTATGTAACGCGCCCCAACTTTAAGGTGTGTTTTGCCCAGGCAAAAGATGTGAAGCTTGAGAAGGCTATGAAATAGAATTCTACCAAAATCAGGGTGCAACCAATGTCTAGGCGTTAGTTATAATGAGCATACCAGGGAAATGTAATAAGCAGACAAGGGGTTTCAGTACGAGGTGTAATCTAGAGACATGGTGAGTGCCATAACACTATTGTTACGGCATACAATAACACTATTGTTACGGCATACAATAACACTATTGTAATGGTTTAGCTAGGGATAAAAAATAATATCTAAGTGTCGTAAGCAGAGTTTGTGCCGCCAGGGATGGGCCAAAATTTTTCTGCCCACTACCATGAAATTTTAAAAATTCTAAAAAAAAGTTGGCTGAAATTCTCGCCCTTCCAATAACTGCTGCGCTTTCATCAACCCCATTCTTATTTAAGTGGACTGTTGAATGCTTTTTTTCTTGGCAATCGTGGATCATCTCATAGTAGGCAAGTAAGGGGTTTAAGCGGTAGCGATTGGTCAACTCTCATTTGATAGGAGGGATGTAACTCATTAGCTGACACTTAAGTTAACTTGATTTGCACTGAGTAAAATTAGAGTTTGTTAGTGCTTTTATATAATACGACAGACTCATCTTTCTGTATTAATATTAGTAATCTATATTTTCCTCTTTGTAAATCAATACTACTTATAGACATGGGCGCCCCGCAGAAAACTTTCTAGGGGGGGGGCAAAAAAAATCGATTAACTTTCGGGGGGGGGGCAACATTTTTTAAGTGATGTTTTAATGTAGTTTTAATTTACGGACANATTCTTATTTAAGTGGACTGTTGAATGCTTTTTTTCTTGGCAATCGTGGATCATCTCATAGTAGGCAAGTAAGGGGTTTAAGCGGTAGCGATTGGTCAACTCTCATTTGATAGGAGGGATGTAACTCATTAGCTGACACTTAAGTTAACTTGATTTGCACTGAGTAAAATTAGAGTTTGTTAGTGCTTTTATATAATACGACAGACTCATCTTTCTGTATTAATATTAGTAATCTATATTTTCCTCTTTGTAAATCAATACTACTTATAGACATGGGCGCCCCGCAGAAAACTTTCTAGGGGGGGGGGCAAAAAAAATCGATTAACTTTCGGGGGGGGGGCAACATTTTTTAAGTGATGTTTTAATGTAGTTTTAATTTACGGACAGGACATCAGCTTAGTTACTTTCTCTTTATTTTCTCTTTACTTTAATAAATTTTTTGTCTATTTTTGTCTAAAAATTTATTTATCCAATCAATCCAGGGGGGGAAGTGCCCCCCCCCCCTCCCCGCGGGCGCCCATGCTTATAGTATAGACAATGAAATCATTGCAAGTATTTATAAAAATTTAACTTTTTTATCAAACATAATCCCCACATATCAACCCCCCCCCCCACGTCAATTTTTACAAATCTAGAGTGTGATGTCATTAATGGATACAGAAACATGTGGAATGTGGAGGAAAATTGGTGCCAGAGGCATGGTGTGATACGATAGCCCTGTATTATACTATTATACATTTTACTATTTATACAGTGTATATATAAAAAATCCCCCCCATCTTTTTCGATATTTATGTATTGAAATTGAAGTGAAGTATTAAAGTTAAAGTCGTTAATTAAAATACTTGCCTTAAAGTTTAAAGGGGGCGGGGGAAGGCTACGGGATTTGTTTTAGTTTTAGAAAAACAAACTTGTCCTGGTCTAAGCTAAAATTAAACAACTAGTAAATAACGCGTAAAAGCTTCTGCATCAATTTAGTCACTCATTCATAACCAATATTCATAGAATAAAAAATAATTGTCATGGTCATCATCCACGCTGTTCAATCATTCACGTTGTTTTTGTTTTGGTAATTATGACTTTATCTTTGTTCATATTTATTTAATTTTTTTTTTAGTATTTACCGTTGAGCTTTCATGGCAACCAAGAATAAAGTAATAATCATCTTCATGTTTTCGTTGATAAGTCAAAATTTCGTCCATTCTTTTTCACTATTGGTGGACTATCGCATTAGAAACGCATTACAATTTACATTCATTAATGACTAATGACATCTGGTTACCGGTAATGCCCGCAATGTCTTAAGCTCTCGCTACTAAATACCGCTAGGTACCGTGAAATACCACTAGCCCGTTCACATTTTTCATTCTTTCATCCGTCATTCTTTAAGTACAAATTTCATAATACTTAGATAGACCATGGCATGTTTACACTAATACTAATAATGTCATATTATATTATGTTTATATTTATGTTTAAGATGGATCAAACCAAGGTTCTATTGTAGTCCTAAATGCAAAGTGTTGAATACCCAGTGAAATGATTTTATTTTTACTCTACAAGGACCAGAGTCTATATATTTATATCAAAATAGTATGCACAATAAATATTTATTTCATTACTGATACTGGTAATACTCAAATGAAATTAACCTAACGAGAAAAAAACAAACAACTTAACCACTTAATACATTTAATTATCTAACCATTACACAAATAAAATTAGTTTGGGGACGTCCATTAATTACGTCAACAATTCCCCCCCCCCTCTGTCAACAACTGTCAAACTTTCAATGACCCCCCCCCCCATTTTAATTATGTCAACAC